TTATTATTATTATTATTATTATTATTATTATTATTATTATTATTATTATTATTATCATCATATTTGTCAAGCATATATAAGATAACAGATATAAGTATAAACCTGATTATGAATACAGGAAATGGATATGAATAAGTGGGAACAGTAGGTATGTTGGGGCACTTATGCATGGCCCTTACAGACCTCTTAGGAATGGGGTGAGGTCAACAGTTAGACAGTCTCAGGTTAAACTTTTGGAGGTTTAGGGAAGAAACCACAGAGTCAAGTAGAGCATTCCAGGCGTTGACCACTCTGTTGCTGAAGTCATATTTTCTGCAATGGAGTTTGGAGCGGTTTACCTTAAGTTTATATCTATTGTGTGCTCATGTATTATTGCAGTTGAAGCTGACGTAGTCATTGATAGGAAGAATGTTGTAACAGATACTTTTGTGTACTACACTCAGGTCAGACCGAAGGCGGCGTAGTTCTAAGTTGTCTAAGCCCAAAATTTCAAGCCTGGTGGTGTAAGGTATTCTGTTGTGAGCAGAGGAGTGAAGGACTCTTCTCATGAAATATCTCTCAACTCGCTCAATTGTATTAATGTCTGATATGCACTGTGGGTTCCAGACAGATGAGCTGTATTTGAGAATAGATCTAGCAAAGGTTTTATATGCTGTAGTTTGCAATACAATATTACCGGAGAAGAAGCTTCGCAAGATTAGGTTAACAACTCTTTAATACCTTTTTGGCAATGCTATTACAGTGATCTCTGGCACTTAGATTATTAAAAATGAGTACTCCCATGTCCTTGACAGAGTGAGGGTCATCCACGAGGTCATATCCGTCCAGCTTTTATTTGGTTGTCTGATTTTTTTTGCCAATGTGTAAGACATTATTAGTATTGTCATTATTGTGCTTTGGAGTCAGTGTTGACTTCTGATAACCGTAGATAAGTCTGCAATTTTCTTGGCAAGGTTTTCTGGAAGTTGTTTGCCATTGCCCAAGGTCACACATCTGGCTTAATGCCTAAAGTGGGGCTGGAACTCTTGATCTCCCAGGCTCTAGCCTTGTACTTTAACCACTCTACCACTCTGGCTCTGCAATTTTTGGGATTGTAGATCCCATAAACTTTGGAAAACATGGTTTTAGCTTGAGGAAGGTGGGATGAAGAATGACAAGAGTTGTCCCTGCTTACTTAGAAGTGAGATACTGTGATACAGATGAGAGAAATAATAATAGTAATAAAAGTACATGCTGCCTGACTCCCAATGACTCTGGGCAGTTTACAATTGCTAAAAACATTTAAAAGCAAAGAGCAGCTGGGCATATGGCAGGGAATTTGATTTCTAGAGAACAGAGAAGCAGAGAGAATTGCATTGTTACGGCAGATCCTGACAAAATCAGTGGCTTGCTCAGTGAGATAGGACTTTTGACAAACTAAGCGGTGGCATTTGCACCTCTCTGTCCTTCCTGATGTGTTAATGGGAGAAAGAGAATTATTTTTTTCTTTCACAAATGTCCTTCATTTAAATTAAGGCAGTCAGTATCCTACATGATGGGTTCTTAGCATGAGCATGCTAGTTGGGGAATTCTGGAAGTTGAAGTCCATACAGCTTAAAGTTGCCAAAGTTGAGAAACACTACAGTGGAGAGTCCAGCTGCCTTGGAATCTGCTGGTGCTGAGCTATTTTACACAGATTTGCTGATGTGACACCTGACTTCAGCCTTTTTTTTTAATGGAGACATTCTGTCTAATGTCCGTTAGGCTGATCTTTGCAATTGGAAATAAGCACTTTTGACAGACTTCATTTTGCTCTTTTGTAATTTCTGTTATAGGCAAAGATAAATGGTGGGGACAAAAAAAATTTCAATTTTACCCAGGACTCTCCTTACCTTAACTAATCAACTGGCCCTGAAAAAACTTTTATATTGAGTGCCTCTTATCTGTGAGTTGCTTTTTCCGAACACTAGATGGTGCCAATGTAATGAATGGTGAAATACTGTATATTAAGACCAATTAATCAGAGTGAGAGAAAAAATTCTTGTCTTGCAATATTTTAGCAAACACAATTTTTAACAAATCTAAAATATAAATGACCAGTAATATTGTCTCTTTCAAAATGTTGCCAATTACCTTGTAATATGTAAATTGAGTAATCTCTTGTTTTTTTGTTTTAATTGGAAAATTAATTGAAAAAAAAAGTTCTAATTGGAAAAAAGAAATCTTAATACACCAAAAGTTATTTGAGTAAAATGTTGTTTCTATAAGATTTGAGATTTTTGAACTTTTCATCCAAGTTGCTCTTATTCCAGGCCTGTGTCAACTATTTTTGAATGTTTTGCTTTTATATTATTTGTATTGCTTTGCTTAAGCTTTTAATTAAACCATTTGCATTTGCTGAAAATGAAATTGATACTTCGTCGCTAATTGTTTCGGCATCACCCAAATGTTAGCATGAACCAAATTTGTTCTTAAGAAAATTGGTTTTAAAGAATGGACTCAATTGTCAGTTTCTTAAGTATCCTGCTTGTTAATGAATTGTGACTTGCTTGGATATAAAACCAGAAACTAGAATCCGTTTCTGCCATTTGCACTGAGTGCTAGAAGATATATTGTTGATTGTTCTGCTGTGATATCATATTGGAAAGTGGTAGGAATGGGAAGACAGTATAATGCTAAAAATATAATTACCTGAACAAGGCTGAACTTCGTGTCCTCCTGTGGCTTGCAGTGTTGGGTGTGCTAATGTAAACAGAGCATTCTTAGCCCACTCATAAAGTTCTGAGGATTTTTATGGTGGGTAATTTGATGTTTGAGGGTTGATAGAAAACTAGTTACGTTTTAACACTAGAAAAATCTTTTCTTAGATTGTAAAATGCTTTCCTTAAGATTGAAGATAGTGAAGTTCTTTTGTTGCAAATTGAGAATTTATTTCTGTATTTTTATTATTATTATTATTTTTATAAACAACTCAAGATGGTGAACGTATCTAATATTCCTTCTATTTTCCCCACCACCACAACAACCCTGTGAGGTCAGCTGAGCTGAGTTGGCTTTCATGCCTAAGGTGGGAGTACTAGACCATATAAATTTAATAAATAAATAACCTTCCTGATGCCTTAATAGCAATAGCATATACCACTTTGCAGCCCTCTCTAAGTGGTTTTACAGAGTCAGCCTCTTGCCCCTAACAGTTTGGGTCCTCATTTTACCCACCTTGGAAGGATGGAAGGCTGAGTCAACCTTGAGCCTGGTGGGATTTGAACTGCCAAATTGCAGGCAGCCGGCAGTCAGCAGAAGTAGCCTGCAGTACTGCACTCTAACCACTGCACCACCATGGCTCAACTACTAGACCAGCTACAGGTAGTAGTACTTGATTAAGGAATGCCCTTTTTAACAACCATTTAACATTACGACCATCCTGTAAAAATAGTCTTAGTGGTCCTCACATTTAAAACCTTCCCAATGTCCTGTGGTCACCTGATTGCCATTTGCAAGTTTCACAGCTGACTTCTGAAAACAAAAGCCAATGGGAAAGCTGATAGTTGCACTCCCATGATGTCTCACTTAATGAGAAGAGTGGAACTGATGTAAATCCAGCACAGTTACATGTATTGCTTAA